TTGGCTTGGAAAGTAGTTGTCAACAGGAGAGATGGGCTGGGAAAATGAATTTCATGTTTATGCAATGACTATGGGAACAAATAACAAATATCAGCAAAGCGAAGAAAATCACAAAAAAGCAGCGTGCAAGCAAAAAAAAAAAAAAAAAAAATACAAAAATAAAAAAGCATTGTGGATTTCCGGAGAGCAAAGAAGCGAGCAAAGTAGACATTGGCAAACAAAATTCTACCTGAAAACCTTGCCAATTCTGGTTTCGAGGTGTGTCCCGAAAAACAGGATCGGCATCGGCATCGGGATCGCCATCGGGATCGGGATCGTCTGGAACGGAACTGCTCTGCCTTATATCCAATGCCATATCAAGTTACCGACCAGGCAACAAGATTCCACTTCTCTTCTCGTTTTTTTTTGTTTTTTGTTTTTTTTTTTGATTTTTTACTTTATCACTTACAGGTTTTTTTTTTTGGGTTTTGACCAGGCGAAAGGCAAGGAGTAACAGCAGATTTAACACTTGAGAAATTAGCCGATTTCATAAACCGTTTTTTTTAATTAAGTCTTCTTAAGTTACTGATGGGAAAGTTATATTTTTAAGTGATACTTTTTTTTTTTTTTTTTTTTTGTTATTTGGGCCAACGTCGGCGGTGTCGATTAATTAATAAATGCGACAGTAAATGGTCGATAAGTGGTTGTCTCGAAATTAATTGAGACGCCGAAATAAAAGAGAGACTTTCACAATAATCTGGGGGTTTTAAGTGCCGCGCGTCCTTGGAAAAGGGGTTTGAAGTCGTGAGAATTGGCCTGATTTTTGCATTTTATTTTGGGTGTTATTAATTAATGATTCACCTTGATTAATACATATTATCTGCATTGCTATCATATGAACTTAAGATTTATTTATATTAGTTTGCATTTTCTTTAGACATTTATGAAGGCATTTTTGCTATCGATCGCTAGATCATTTGATGGTGCAATATTTTATTATTTGATGGAATTGTTTACTAGAGTTTACCTCTTACTTTGTTGCATCAAGAATGTTGTCTAAACTGTTCTTAATGATCATTTTATGCATAATTTATTTTAACTTATCAATAATTTATACACGATTTCTAGTCGAACTTTAATTGATCCTACATTATTTAGAAGATTAACTTTGCTGCTTTAGTTGAGTTGAACTTATATTTGTATTTTGTAATGCCGTAGTCATAATATTTTTTGTCAGTCGTATGTTGAGTTATTAAGGACCTATAAAAGTTTCCTAATTTTTGTATTGTGTTATGCTTTCGACTGCAAAAATAGTACAAGTATGTACAATTTTAAAGGTTACATTTATTTCCCAGCTGTAAATCTAGGTAGTACTACCCTCATCCGCCAGTTGATCCTCAATTTAAAGCGATATATTCCTTCAATATGAGTGCTCTCTTCCCCTTTAATTTTATTGCCATTAAATTTAGTTGCAACTTTATGTGGATGATCCCATCCATTCCGATCATAAAATGCACATTTTACGACCCATAACCATGGGCATGTTGGTTATGGATCGCTATATACCGACTTTATGCGCATGGGTTATATAGTATTTATATAGTATTTACTGAAGTCTAGGCGAGGGCTAATTAAGGAACCGCCGTGTGCGTGACTTACGAAAGTCAAGAAATGTGTTTTTGGTTTTTATTTTTTTTGTTTTTATTTTCGGGGTGCACACACAGGATATACAGGAAATAGCTGAGCGAGAAAGAGCGAGCGAGAAATAAATACGAGGCATTCAAAAGGGAGCAGAGCCAGAGCAGGCAGAAAAGATACAAAAGTATCTGAAGCGCGATACTCGACTATATTTTCTCTCTTTCACAGCTCGATAAAACCCATCCCGCTCGCTCGCACGCTCACTGCATATCGTAATTTGATCTTTGAGCAAGCAGCAGCAAAAAGGACGCGCATGTGCAATATGCCAGGATTCAGGGGTTGCTCCTGTTCCTCCTGTTCCTGCTGTTTCACTTTTGGCTCCAGGAGCCCAGCTGTCGTTTATTCTATATGCTATATAGTAGTCCCTGTCCCTTCTGCCCCGATATGATGAAATCGAATGCGGTGGTGGTGGTTGCTTGTTGGTTGTTCTTATTGTTTTTGTTGTTTTTTTTTTTTATATTTTTGATCCCCGAAACCGTTACGTGCCACATTAAACCTGCAAAAAATAAAACCCTAAATTGTTGGCTAAATGCAGGCGTTCGATCGCCGAAAGTTGAATAAACTTGGATTGGAGCAAATGGGGCGTAAACTTTTAAAAAAAGAATATTAATAACCTTTTTTTTCTCACCGCCATATTTAGACATTTTTTTCTATGGATATGGTTATGAAATGAATATAACACATGTTTGTTACCTTTACCATTTTCATTTGATTGTTTACTATCGTGCATTACTAAGTTGACTGTCATAGGAAAAATCTGACTTAAGACAACTTACAAGACCGTTCCAACTCTATCCATCCTAGCTAAAAACGTTCAAATGTATTTAAAGGGTAAAGCGTTCTGTAGCAGTTAAGAAAACTGTATTTTTTGGGCTTACACATTTAATAATTGAATAATATTTATATTTTTGTACAATTATTGCAAAGGATTTTTGAGGGGAAATACGAAGCATCAATACATGTGCTATTGAGCGGCGGCTTACAACTTGGATAGCAAATACCTAAACTTGGAAGATCAGTTTTTTAACCCCGAGATTACAGACTTATGTTGAGGGATGTTTATTTTGGAAATTTTTAATTTTTTCATCCCAAAATCGTATGCCAAAACTTGAAACAGGTTTTTTTTTAATCTAAATAAGTTTTTTTTTTAACATAAAAAAAGTTTACTCATTGCCCATTAGCGTACTCAGATAGCATTTATTTATTCTAATCAATTTGACAATAAAACATTGCGAAAAAACGCTTGAAAATTACAGGTACAGTGGCCAAAGAGTAAGAAACTAGTGGAGTTGATTTCAGTTACTTTTAATTATACCATACAAAACAAAGCAATCTTGTGGTTAGTCCTTAAAATGAAATTACAACCGTAATTTAGGATTGACTAAGATCTGGGAATTGGTTTTAAATCTATCCAATAAAGTTTAAGAGTCGTAAACTTAATGGTGTTTCAAGTTATAGTTTAGTGTACCAGAACCGTAATAAGACCCTGTAATTCTTGTTTCGCAAGTGAAACCTGGGACCTATAAACCTGTAAGTCGTCTAAAAACTCTGAACTATAAATTCCAGTCCAATATCATCCAGTTTTTTTTAGTTTTAGACACTTTTGGTTGCATGAAAGCTGCAATTTAGTGTTCTTGAGCCCTGCAATTCCTGTTTTAGCGCCCACCCTTTTTCCGCGACTTGTGCTGTGTCCCCTCGTTCTTATCGGCGTCTCCTCTTTACTCACCAGTTCCGCGAACGGTGTGCGGCAAATTCGCAAACGCCAGCGTCAGCAGCAGCAGATGCAGCGACGCTGGCAGCGAAACGACCGCATGCATTTTGTTAATCCAAAAACAAATCCAAGTGTTTAGTGCGCGACTGCGACGTCGGCTGCGCTGCCATTCCATTGTAATCCAGTTTTCCAGTTAACCACTTTTCCAGTTTTTCACTTCTTCTGGTTTCTTTTTCGCTCCTCTTTCGGTCTCTCTTTGAGGATATTTATTTAACAAAGGAATTTAATTTGTTTCGAATATATTTAAGTGTTTAATATATCTAACGGTGTTTTATAGTTTTAAACTTTAAATGTTAAAGCTTTTTTTGGTAAACCAAGAGGAGACACTCTCCCGACGACGGCGACATTTTCCGTTTTGAAACATTAAAAAAAATGCCAAAAAAAAGAACAATATTTTGTCGTATTTCTTCGAGGATCGAGCAAATATTCAAATTACCGACCGACGCCGCACGCTTTTGCTCTTTCTTTCTCACTCTATCACTCACTTTTCCGCTCGTCCGCTTTCAACCGTTTCATGCACTTTTTCGCTTCGTTTTCAATTCAAACCGATCTGATCGCACGCTAGAGGCGGACAAACATCGATGCCGACATCGATGCCGACATTAATGCCGATGTATCGATGATTCGAACTATCGATGAGCATGGTTGGGAACTTGGCTTAAAAACCGATTACCCCATCGAAATGTTAATACGTAGTTTGCCTAACACAAGGGTTACAAGTATACAAGTTTTCCTTAAAAAAAGTTAAATTATAATACAACGCTTTTTTGTAACCGAGAAATGTGAATGTTAGCTCGGATGTCAACTTTAATGCTGACATTGATGTAACGATGCTTGAAACTGGTTGGGAACTTGGATGATGCAACCGATTTCCCAACCGAAGTTTTTCAAACTCTAACGAGTATTCCATCTTTCAAAAATTCAAACCACTCACAAAGGGCGTAGGAAACACTTTGTTGCTTTTAAGTTAATTCAAATAAATAAATATAATTTTAAACATTGTTTAAACCTTAATGTTTACCGCCAAAAGCATCGATACCCGCAAATAGCGAATCGATCGCGGTTGAAGTAACAGATAAGTGAAGCCGAGCTTCCAACCTTTGTCGGCCAATAACATGGCTCTCTAACAGAAATGTTGTAAAAATGTTAGTCAAAGTTAATAAAATGGACTAGTAATTATAAATTGACCATTTAAATAACTAAATTATAATTATTTTTACTTTTATAATCGAAATAAATATCCCTTGGAAACCAATAAATTAAATGGCAAAAGGGATGTGATAATGACAAGGATTGGACTAGATTTGAAACAATTAATAATAATAAAGGTTTATTTACTAACTTTATTTATTTTAAGATATACATAAAAATATTGCAAATATTTTAATAATTGTGCAATTTTTTAAATTGAATATCTACTATTAACTATTTAACGATGTATGATATGCTAACTTTTGAATATTATTTTGCAGGGTTTTAATATAAGTAACATAAGAAGTTTATGTCGCAATTTAAAAAAAATATATACAATTATTTTAAAACGAACTACAATGTACTTCAAATTTCTTGATTTTTTTTTTTTAATTTAAATTTTGAATGTTAGAGCTGAATTTCCCAGTTTCCCATCGCAAAGCCAAAGAATTCGGCTTAAAAACTTTTGAGTTCCGAGGAAAGTTGACATTTTACTGGGGCAATCGACCCTAAGTACACCTACATAAAACTACAACCGATTCGATGCAGTATTTACTCAGTGATTAGACAACGGCCGTTCCATATGCAAATATTTCCCCTCGCTGTGCCAGTTGTCAAATAAACCACATAAATGTGGTATAGTTCATTAAGAGGAGTACTGGAAAGGAAGTTGTCCACTCGAAAAAACAAATAGCGAAGCGAAAAACTCAAAGGAAAAAGTGCTGGCACAGAAATCTTGCCTTTTGCCGACGGTAAAACCAATCTTTTTTTTTTTGTGAAGGCGGCTTTATAAATCTGAAAGAGCATGCGCAGTCAGCAAAGAGAGACAATTAAGAGAAAAACAAGAAACGTAGAAAAAAAAACGACCACCTGTCTGAAAAATGACAACACAACAAAGCGAAGCAAAGGAAGGGGGCGAAAAGGAGGAACGGAGAGCGCAGCCGCAAACGGAAAACGAAGGAAGGGAAGACAACGACAAAGAGTGAGCGAAAAGAAGGGTGAGAAATTAAGAGGGCGTATTTTTAATAAGTCTCTTAACGAGCTGCATTTATAGAGATTTAAAGTCACTTGGTTATTATATTTGTAAAGTTAATATCGTTAATAATCTAGATTTGTGTTTGTAAAGCTCATTTAATTAACCGGTAATTGTGGGAGTCTAAAGTATTTACAAATAAGATCGTATGTTAAGATCATAGGAAACTACATACAGTGGGCAAAATAAGTTTAAGTACACTTTGCCTACTGTATGTACATATCAATATGTATATCAAACTGTGAGTTGGAGTTATTATGAATTGGATTAGTGATCTATAATTTTCTTTGTATATCAAATCTATGGGCGTTTTTTCAACCATCTTTTTCGAAAGAATTTAATTTTATAGTTCAACATTTTCAGCGTGAGCAACATTTTATGTTGGAATTAGAAATGTTGTACCATTTCTCAACTACCGTTAATGCCTATAAGTCGAACTGGTTTTATTGGAACTAGCAAGTGTATTTATAAACGAATGTTCATATATTGCCTATATATGGCTTAAAGTTTTGTTAAACCCGAAACCAGAGTGTGTTGTTCAATAAAATAACATGATAAGCTGTTTATGTCAATTAAAATGCACTCTTAAAACCTGTTTAAAAAAAATTAAATATCCCATAAGATTGTGAAAACTTGGCATAATCAGGTGGTTTGATGTAATTATATTATTTAATTTGTGATATAGTTTTAGAGAACTAAAATGTCTAAGCCAAATACCATTGGCATGTTGTGTTAGCCCTATTTTTCTCCGTGCACAACTCTCTTTATGACAATTAATTGTGGAGTTTTTTCAACTCATTTTTACTTACTACCACTTCCTTTGGCTAATATCTTGCAGCTGAATAATGCAAATGTGTTGTCGTTCGCCTTTGCGTTCGCAAAGATCACACCACCTCCCATGGCTAATAAACCTAAAGAAAAAAGAGTTTAGGAGGCGGAAACCCGAGCTCAGGAAATGCCCAGGTAAAAGTTATAAAACTAATAGTTCAATGATCTTCATTCAGTCGCAGCTGTAAAAAACTGTGAGTGTTCAAACGGAGTATGGAAGAATGAAACTGCCCGATGTTCACGAATCTGAGTTCTGGTATCGAATATTTAATTGCTGGAAAATGATCTGCAATGATTAATGGATCGTAGGACCTACAAAATATGAACCGACACGAACTGGAGAACGAAATTTAGGTAATAATAAACTTAATCAATTTAATGTGAAGGGTTGGGTGATTAGTTTTTGTTCCAATTTAGAAAAAATATTTTTTAAAATATTACATTTTTTTCATTGTAAATCAAAGTTGTTTTTGGTTGATAATACTTTAATTTCTCAATAACTTATTAGTGAGCTATTTTAAAATTGCGACCTATGACAAAGTTGATAAGTTTTATGTTATTTTACTAAAACTTTTCATACAAATTGAAGACATTTTTTTTGAAGTCTTAATTTAAAAGAAAAAAATAATAATCCCATTTCACGTTTTTTTTTTCTTTCATCTTCTTTTTATAATCAACCACCAGAATAAAAAATCAGATATCTAGCATTTTGAAATATTTTTTATTTCCTCTTTTTCTTGTATTTTTATTTGCAACTAATTTGAGTTGTTCTCGACTTAAAGATACATTTTCATTTTCTTTTCATGTTGCACGCAGTACGTTCTTAGTTCTCGACGCCGTTTTCATTTTCTGAATCTTTTACTCTGCATTCTGCACTTCACATACTCGTTTCTTGTAATTATCATAATTTACTTGGCTTAATAGGATTTGCATTTGAATTTATTTTTGTTTTGTTTTGTATCGTTTCGTTTTTGTAACGTCTATGTAATTGAACTCTTAATTGAATCGTTTGACAATTATCCAAAAAATGTAACACCATCTTTTATATCCGATATTCGGAACGTTATCCCATTTAAAAAGCTCATACTAGCCCAAGGAAAGAATAGAAATAGAAATAGATTCGAGTAATTAAATCAGGTTAAATGAAGAACATTTAAAGCATTTTGTGTATTACTCTATATAAATATGTATATTTCGTGTATATGTTTGACAAAAAAAAATTAATTACAGTATTGGCTTAATGATTTAAGAACCCAACAAGGAATCATAAGGCAGCATTTCGTGTTAAAAATTTTACGCTTTACACTTACTTTGGTTTTTTGGTAGATCGCTCAAATGTTTTACAAATTGTTGCTAAGCTTTTTTAATTTTTGTTTTACCTTTAAAATTGTTTACATGCACTTTTTTTTTTTACTTTTATAAATAGGCTTATATTTCTAGGCAGAAAAAAAAAAAACAATCATTCTCTCTAATCTTAGCTAGTCATTTATTTTAAGCGTTGACATACACATTTATGCTCTATATTTATACGATACACAATATTCAATTTGTTTCTTTACATAATTGATTTAAAGTTAAATTTCATTTACTCGCTTAAGGGCTAGACAAAAAATTTTTTAGTTTTCACATGGATGCTGGATGCTGAGGCCCTTGAAACCCGATCAAGTTTGGATTTGGGAACTATGAAGGCGGCTTTTCTTGTATTAACTTTGAACACCAATACATGGATTTATTAATCTATTATTTTCTAAGAGTTTGTGGTTTTTGGGGATTTTTTTTTGTAATTGTTTTAATACTGAAACATCCAAAAAAAAAAAAAAAATAAATAAATACAACTTTAAAAACAAATCGGTGTTTTTGAAGAATTCAAAAAAGAAAATTAATCAAATATTACGTTATAGAAAAGTTTAAGTTTATTTTTTCATTTTCATTTACTTTTGGCTTTTCTTGACCGGGTCACAAATAAAATACAGCACTTACGCTAAAAGTTTCTCTCACTGCATTCATTTCGTATTTTTCCATAAATATATTTTTATATATTTATTAAAGTCTAAAAATTTGATAAATTTTGGCTTAGAAAATTGTTTTTGCTTGCTGCTTTTGCATTTTCTTTTTTTTTTTTAGATTTTTTCGTTTACTTGGAACTAACTACAGGCATTTTATAATTACGTTTTTACATATATAATTGAATTGATTTTCGATTTTCGTTTAAAAATGTATGCAACTCGCTGTTTAAAATTAACTTTTGAAGTTTTGTAATTGGTTTATTTTTGCATTTTTTTTCGATACGTTCCGTGTTAAATTGATATACGATTTTTTTACTCGATAAGTAGCTTAAGATTTGCACTAGTTGATATAATTTGCCGTTCCAAAACTCATCGAGCCTTCTCATAAAATAATTAACGCTATAAATCACAATACGGTTTTTGTTTTCTTTTTTTTCTATGCTTTTGTTTTTCTTGTTTTACATATGGTTAATTTTTACTCAAGGGTGTTTAAACTATTTTCTTAGGGTCCTTTTTTTTATATGCCGAGCAATACGAATAAAAAACTCAATGGTGTATCAATTTCACACTTGATGCAGAAAATAGTGATTGCCTTTTCGAAAATAGTTAACACCACTTGAATCAGAATTACACTATTATTTACTGACAAAAAAAATATTACCACTAGAAGTTCTGCGTTTTCTTTTTTCAATACATTTACGGGTTATGCTAATGGCTCTTCCAATGATATTTTTTGTATATATCTATATATATATATATATGTATAGGGTGATCTTTCGGGCATTTGTATGCGTATTTAAACGTGTGTGGCCAGAGGTCCTTTTTGTGTGTGTCCTTTGCCATTATTGGACAGTATAAATTGCCCGGACGGACTCTGGGCACACTGGCCGCTGGTTCCGCCTACGCCCGCTAGGGGCGTGGCCGCCAGGGTATTACTACTGGCGGTTAAATTCGAACTGCTACCGCTCACACTGCCGCCCGCAGCCACGATCCCGCCCATGCCACTGGGCGTCGAGGCGCCGCCGCCCCCACTCCCGTTCAAATTCCCAACTGGACTCGTCGTGATCACCGCCCCGCCCACAAAATGCTTGAGGCCCCCATTGTGGGCATGGCCATGGCGAGCGGCATGATAGGGAGGCGGGGCGGGCGTGGCCGCCGGATTGGCGGTACTGGGCGGCGGGAGGGGGGGCAGCAGCGAGGAGTTCGTCCTTAGGTAGGGATTACCGTAGATGGCGCTAAAGCGACTATCGATGCCGTTCTGGAGCAGCGGTTGTCCTGAAAAAGCAACAAAATTCGATAAGTTATATTGGGCAAAGGGAAAATTATTTAATAGAATATTTTAATTTTTAAAAAGATTCAGTTACCAGTTTGTGCTAAGTGTTTTGTGTAAATCAAAAAATAACTTATAAAATAATGATGCGAATTTTTATATAACAAAAATTTTCCTTTACCACTAAAACACAACAGAGTGGCTTAACTGAATATAACTAACTTTACATTGACACGCCACCTGTTAGTGTGTATATAAACTAACATTTTACAAGTGTAGCGATTTCTGGCCTTTAGGGATTTTTACAATTTATATACATGCAAAAAAAGTTAACGAACATTTTGTATGGAGGCACTTAAACTTTTTTTGCGCACTGTATATGTATGTACAACAATCTTAAATCTCTAGATGTTTGTTTCACAGCATGCTTGTGAAAAATTGTTGTATTTTTTGTTTCAACCTAAAAACTTGTTGTTTTTTTTTACTTTTCGAAATACATTTAAAAGAGACTCGAAATCTCGAATACTTAACCAAAACATAGAAATCTCAAAACCACTTAAAAGGTGTCAAATAGTATAGTGTAAAAAATTATATTATATTTAAAATAGTTCCTATTTCATTTAAATTCATTTATTTAATTATAATATAGTTTAAATTTGAATTAAATTTTTAAGTATTAAAATCAATTTAAAAAAAAGATAAAATTACAATTTTAAAAAATGTAATATTTTCATGATTAAAATAACCAAAAATGGATGAAAATCAAAGCGAAAAATATTCAAATTGAGTAGTCTTTTACCAGTGCACTTTTCGAGACTTTTATATTTAACTATTTCTTTAATTTCACTTAAATAAACACAACTTAACTCACCTAGAAATCCGTTGGCCTGCTGTTGTGACTGTTGAAGTTCGTGTCTCTGGTTGCGTGGCAAACTGGCCCCGCCCCCATTGCCAGCGCCGCCCCCGTTTACAGAGGCGGCAGAATGGGGCAGTGTGGCCGAGTTCATGCCACCGTTCTTGACCTTGCCAGCAGCACCACCTCCAGCACCGGCACCGGCCCCGCCCACAATCACTGCCGCCCCCTCACCAGGCGGACTGTAGTCGAGGGCATACTCGAAGTAATGCGCATATCCATTGGCCTGTGGACTGCCCTTGTAGGCGGTCTCCTGCTGGTTCTTCAGATTCTTGATGTGACACTGGCGATTGTATCGATCCGCACCACCGAAATCGCCCGAAAATCGTTCATCGAATTTCACGGGTCCGGCGAGCGGTACCCCCAAAGTGGCGCCCTTCATCTGCACATCGGGCATGGGCGATTGCGTCAGATTGATGGCCAGTCCATCGCCGCCCGCCTCCGAGTACTCCACATCGTAGGCCTTCGATCGCAGCTCGCTCTTCAGCTCGTTCAACTTGTCGCCGCCACGCGACGCCTCTGGAATCACGTCCGCCGGCATGGGCTTCTTGCGGCTGCGCCGCTTGCGGTACACAATGATGATCATCACGATCATCAGGATGATGGCCACGCAGAACATGGAGCCCATGACGACCAGCAGTACGGGTATGTTGCCCGGTTCGCGCAGCAGTGTGATCACCAGTGAATCACCGCCGTACGAATTCATCACCGTGCAATTGTACTTCCCGAAGTGCGTGGCCTTGCTGTCGCGAATTATGAGCGCTGCCCTCACGCCCTCCGGCAAATGATGCTCCTCGAATATGTAGATATCCGGATCGGCACTGCTCATATTGATGATCTTGCCCTCGAACGACCAGAGTATGTGCTCCGCTTTGGGTATGCTAAAGGCCAGGCAATCGATCTTCACGCGGCCACCAACGCCGCCAAATTGCACCTTATGCGATGTAATTTTCGGGGCCCTCTTCACATAGACCGTGGCCTCCGCTCCGATCTCGGGGAAGCCATTGACCACCGCCTTGCAGAAGTATCGGCCAGCCCTGTCGCTGGTCACCTTCATCTTCAGTTCCGGTGAATTGCCAACAACCTGCGAAACAAAGGGTAATTATGTTAATAAACACATTTCGTATTATAGAGCAAACTGAGATAAAAATGTACAAAATGTAAAAATCAACGCGAATTCTTTAGCCTCATCTTAGCATCAAAGGTTTTTAAAAATTATTAAACAAATTTATAGCCAGTAAACTTAAGGCTTACACACATAATCATTGCTGATTTTACTTTAACATTGCGCGAATTCTTTAGATCAATACTGTTTAAGCATTTTATTTAACATTACGCGAATTCTTTAGATCAATCATGTTCAAGCAGTGAAGCAATGCTGAGAAAATCATCAAGAAAATTCAGTTTTAATTCAAATGAGTGTAGCATTTTCTTTTAGATAACCGCGAGTTATTTACATATGTATGACACCAGCTTTAATTACCTTATCGGAGTTTTCGCTGATCCATTCGATTTCGGGCGTGGGATTGCCAGCCACCTCACAACGCATGGTCACAGTGGCGCCCAAATCGGCCTCCACACTAACGGGGCGTTGTCGGAAAACTGGACCAACTTATGGTGGGAAAAATTGATATATATTTTAAATATTTAAAATACCAAACATTATAAATATGTAGTACTTACAGCTTATGTCCAGTTTCTGGCTTTCCTCGCTTTTGCCCACTGCATTGACCACTTCGCACCTGACACTGGCATTGTGATATTGCCGTGTGACATTGTGAATGATCTGGAAAAAAAAAGGATTGTATATAATAATCATATATAATAAATATTTTAATAATATACTCACCATTTTAGTGGTAAAATCACCGGGCATTAGCTCATCGTTGATGAACCATCGATAGCTGAGTTCATGCGGATTGGCGTCGGCCTGGCAACTGAGGATGACCTCGGCGCCTTCGGGAATTTTACCGCCCGCCAGGGCACCACCCACCACCGAAATGGTGACCTTGGGCGCATACTTGACCTCGAGCAGCAGTTTGGCCGATCTCTCCGTTCGATCGGCCGTGTTTTGTGCCTGACACGTGAACGTCGTATTGTGATGCTCCTTTTTGGGCGCCAATTTCAATATGGATCTGGCTGTGATTCTGCGCGAATCGGCCAAGGGTTCCTTCACATACTCAATGCCCTTGGTGAGGACATTGCCCAGACCATCGATCCAATGGATTTCCGCCGCCGGCTTTCCACCCGTCGAAACGCATTCCAGTTCGATTTCGCGATCCTCGGTGGTCACCAGATAATCGCCTTGGGTGATTTTCGGTGCCTCCGGTGGAACGAGAACGGTGAGTTTGGCGAATCGCGATCGTATGCCCTGTTCACCCTGCGGACCGGGACCCACTTGGCACTGGTACTTGGCATCGTCGTCCAGCATCAGGGGATAAATGTCTAGGGAGAAATCGCCCTCCTCATCGCTGCCCACCATGGAGTAGCGTTCGAAACCGCTGAGATTCCTGTGCTGGCCCAGTCCGAAGTCGTCTTTGGTCCACTGGAGGGCACCGACCTTCTCCATCACCCTGCAGGGCAACGTCACCCGGGATCCGACCACTGCTGTCTGATCCTGTGGCTCCATGGCAAAGTGCTGGCCCCCATTATCGCCGCTCTTCGGTTTGTTTTCCTCATTCCCCGCGGACGAGGAGGATCCCGACGACGACGACGACGAGGAGGAGGAATCACCGTGGTGCGAATTCGAGTTGGACTTGTTCTTCTTCGACTTGGCTTGGACGGCAGTCGGTTGGAGGAGCATCGTCAGGATCAGCAGAAGGACCAGTGGCAGCTCCAGGAGGCGACTGCTGCGCATTCTCTTCATTTTCACCGGGCAATTGTTAACTCAGCTGCAAAAAGTAAGTCAAAATGCAATTAGGTGATTAAGAAGGATTGTGGCAATTATTAAGAAAGTGTATAAAAGTATACATATATTAAAATTTTCATTTCAAAAGATATTAGGAAAGATTATAAATACCTACGCAAACCTATACTTAAATAAATGTGAAATTATTTAGGGATTACTTTTCCTTAATTATTAAATTAAAATCATAAAAGCTAAAGCAATTTAATTAATATTTAAAATTTTTTTTGTCATTTGAATACCTAAATGTTATTTGGATTTCCAAGGTGATAAAGGTACTGAAATTTTAATTTAATAATTTTCTAATACATTGCTTTCAGTTGGTTTATTTGACAAGAAATTAAAAATACAATTTTGTATACGATTTATATTTAAATTTGGCTGAATAATTAAAATAAAAATAAAGTTAGCTAAACAAATTCTGTTAAGCCTCTGTAGCTTTACATATGTTAGGCGATAGCATATGTCCGCCAATACACTACTATCAACCGCTAGATGTCGCCAAAGAAATTGTTTAAAAGTAAAATGTAAGATTCATGTAAATTGATTTTTCCAAAAATATATATTGGTTTAGAAGTTTTAAAGGAAATATTTTTTAAAAGCAAATTCCGCCACTAAACTTATTAAGTAATAATTGAAAGTTTCTCTTTAATATAAGTTTTTGGTACTGTTTAAGATTCTTTAAAATATTGCAACATTCAACATTTATTCCATACTTTTTTATTCAAGTTTTTTCGTTGTTTAAATTTTTCCCTTAATTGAATTACATCTTTCGGTTTCGCAATGAATGAAATCGGGATGAAAACAGATGCCATAAAAAATAATTACAAGCCAGGCCAAAGGAGATTCGACTTTTTAAAATCCCCACTCCCACTCGCATTTCCAATCCCCTTTCCAATCCCCTTTCCACCTTTCACCTTTTTTTTACTTCTCGCATGGCAAGCGAATGCAATAAAATTCGTTTTTGTGGGTCAAGTTTAAACCAAATGAAAGGGCTGAATGTGTATGAAAACTCTGGTATTATGAGTCGGAATGTGTGGGGTTGTCAGATGTCTGGATTTGTGCCATCAACTGCAGCAGACTGCGACTGCCAACTGCTGCTAAGCTGCATATGTAAGTGCATCTCTGCACCGAAAAACATAAGAAATATATTTTAATATTACCAACACTAAATTAAAATTTAAACATAGACTATAAAACACCGAAAATACATATGTTTTCAATATTTTGGTAGACAACTTTATAAAAATCACTAGACCAAATCAAATATTTTTAAACATACTTCAAAATGTGGCTTTCAAAATAGGAAACAGTTAGATTTATTGTATACAAACTTTCAAAAAACTTTAACACTTTTAAGGTTTACAATACTTTATTTAAAGTGTTATTGTAGTTTTGTGCTTTTCGAAAAGAAGATGTCTCTTTTTCCATTCGAATTTTTTCTTCATGTAGCCAAAATTGAAATATACTCGATGCGGACTTTGCACGCATTTCTGCCTTCTGCTGAGTTTTCTTTTTTTCCGGCGATTTTTAACGCGTTTTTTTCACACTTTTTGTCGCTTACTTTTTTGTATTTTCCGTTGGGCTTATGTACATTTCCTCGCTTCCATTTTTCCTCGACTGAATGCGGCTCCCATAAACAAACGGGCCGCCAAACATATGTATGACATATGGGATAGGACCTCCCCCTATTTTTCCTTTTCATCCCCTTGTCAGTCGGTGTTTGGCCTTGGCATTTGCGGCTTTTGTTTGTTATTCGCATTTTTCTTTTTCTTTTTTTATGAGGAAAAATCGCTACTGACCCAAGAGCATTTAAAGCAGAAGAACAAGCCAGTTGTTTGTGAAGTAAATTTAAGTAAATTAGTTTCATTTAATTTGTATATACATATTTAAAACTCAAAATAATCATTTACTTTAATCCCAATATTTCTTATCTAATATAAGCTATAGGTACCTTATTATTATAATAGGAACACAAACATTTTGGAGGAATGCATCAAAGCTAAATTATTTGCCAAGCAGACTAAATAAATGTCTATAAAATCATAGTTTTGTACTTTTGGGTTTTTTGTTTTTAAAATTTCTTAATATGTTAAGTTTCTTAAATTTGATACTCAATTTAAAATATAAAAAAAATGTTAA